ATCTATATTTCTGAAGTCATTAAAACTTCATAAAACTGAACTAAGCCTTTGGGACACCCTGGAAATATATTCTTCTTACATTTATATTGTATATCAATTTGTATATGTATTTGTTGTTTCCCCATTTAGAATGTAAGGATCATTCTTTGTATTCGTATCTTTATTTCCACTAACCTCTGTCAGTCAGTCAGTCAAAATGCATTTATTAAGCACCTACTAGGGCAGCTTGGTGGTGAAGTGGATAGAATGCTGGGGCTGGAGTCAGGAAGACTCATCTTCCTGAGTTCAAATCTGGCTTCAGACACTAGCTGTGTAACCCCAGCAAGTCACTTTACCCTGCTTGCCTCAGTTTCCCCATCTGTAAAATGAGCTGGAGAAGAAAACGGTAAACCACTCCAGTATCTTTGGCAAGAAAATCAGACATAGGAGAACATATACACCAGAAAATAGAGTGAAGGAGCTCTCCCATAGGTAATGTAGTAAACTGAGAGAGAGAGGGAGAGAGAGAGGGAGAGAGAGAAAGAGTCCCAGATCTCCCCCAACAGCGAGTTCCCCGAAGTCTCTAGTATAGCAGGCTGAAGATAGGGACGTGATGGAGAACTACGGCTCCTCTCTTGTTGGCTTTCTCATTGTAACCTGAAGTGGGGCTGGCACCATCCATCTTCTCTCTTGAAGGTGAAAGTCAGAAGCACCCAAAGTGACTGCAGAGTGTGAAGACACTGCAGCAAGTGAAGAGACTGGAGCTGTCCTCTCTCCCCACATCCATCCCACCCCTCACGGCAGCCTTCATCTCCACCAATGAGAAGAGTCCCATACCAATGGGCTCAGGTTACAGAAGAATTAGGACATGGACCATTTTCTGTCTAAGAGCTTAATTTCCTAAGTGGCCTCGAGTCCACTTTCTTTTTCTGCTGAATTCCTCCAATGTCATTATAAAAAAAATTAAAATGCAGGAATGTTGATATTCAAGTATAGCAAAGGTTCCCAGAGATGTCCTCTCTTGAAAGCTCGCCTCCTGGTCATTTAGAGGTAGTTCAGAGTGGGAAAGGAGAGAAAAGGGAAGGAAAAAAGGAAGGGAGGGGAGGGAAGAAGGGAAAAAAAGAGGAAGATGAGGGAGGGAAGAAAAGAGGAGGGTAGGGAAGAGGAGACAAGGAAAGAAAAAAGGAGGGGAAGGATGACGAGAGGAGGGAAGGAGTCCCTCCTATTGATGGGGTTGGGATCTGGGCCCCAGAAAGGAAAAACCCTACACTTTCCCACAAGGCCAAATCTCTGGCGTTCTACCTGAGGCTATAATCCCATCAACTGGTTTTTCTTTGTGGCTATACCCAATCTCCCTTCCATTGTCTTACCTCCCTATGGCCCCTGGCCATTTCCCCTCCCATCCAGATCTCCTTAGGCCCCTCCTCCAGTCACCCCAAACTACTTGGCCACTCCTAGATCCCTCCCACAGACTTTCTGTATATAAGGTCCATCTTGTCTCCATTAAGGTGCTCTGATTCTTAAAATCTAGCCACTGGTCAGATTCTTATAATCCAGCCAATAGTTTACTAATGTTCAGACTCCTTAAGACTCTGCCCAATATGACAGATGTTCTAATAAACCCTGTCTTTGGCTGAAAGAAGGAAGGCTTGGGTTGAATTCTTTCGGGCAGGACCCACATGTTGTGATATTGGGGTCCCAGCACCCCCGAACCCCTAAACCACATCACTACGTGCCAGGCATGATGGCAGGGATATAAAGAGGTAAAAGCTAGACCATCTCTGCTCTCATAGAAAGTCCAGGCTAGTTGGGGAACCACAGAGTTTGACAGTAGGACGGGAACTCAGCGGTCATTCAGTCCATCCCATTGACAAAGAAATCCCCACTCCAGCATCCCAGCGAGTGGTCACGCAGCCTCTGCTTGAAGACCTCCAAATGCAAGGCTGCTCCTACCAACCTAGATTGTTACCTTTTCAGTGGCACACGGGCAAATGCTACAAGTCAAGACTTCTCATTTTGTGGACTGACCTTACAGAATTTAAAAAGGGATGAAGAAAACATTAACAATTCAGATTAAAATGTGTTCTGGTGTTCAGTGTTAAACACTGAACAGCACATCCCTAGGTGCCAGGGTTGTTTGCCGTGTGCACGCTGTGGTGATGAAAAATCTGATCATCAGCTACATACAAAGGCCTCAGTGAATATTCTCCAGTTCTCTTCCTGGGTGGCTTTTGGGCAAGGAGGAAGTGCTTGAGGCCTCCCAGCATAAGAGGGACATCAGCCCTCTCTCCCTCAGGGCTTCTGTATGTGCATGAATATGTATGTGACTTCTCTGGTTTGGCTTTGTCTTCATTTTTCCTGATTTTATGTGAATGATAACCTGGAGAGCTTTGAAAGGTCCAAGAGCCATCACAGGTCTAGCAACTGGAGTGGACAGCTGCAGGAGCTGCCGGTGGCCACAGGAGCCAAGTTGGGGAGAAGCTAGCCCAGAGGGCTTCAGATGTGAGCCTATCCTCCCCAGGGATGTTGTGCCTTGCAAGAAGGGGAGGGCCCGCATTGTGGAGGAGGAATGTTTTGTGCCGGTCCCTCCAAGCCTGAGCCCACTCCAGGGACTGAATGTTGCTGAAAGGACAGTGTGCCTGCCTCCTGGTTTGGTGGGGTGTTATTGTGCCTCAGTCCTTGCTACAGTAAATGTCCCCTTGCAAAAGCTAATTGGCCACCACTGGTTAATAGTGGAGAGATGGTAACTGTTAAATGATGCAGAGCAGCACTCTGGTGAGGGCTTGTAATGATACCAGAAAACCTGACCCAGCCTCTCACCGTTACCCCCAAAACTGCGAGGGGGAGAAGCAGCCCACAGCCCTTTGAAGAAAAGGAATGGGTGAGAGAGCATGACAAAGGACGTCACACAGGAAGGACAAGAACCAGGCAAAAGCAGCAGAGGTTAGAGCATCCTAGGGCATCCGAGTTGCACTTAGAGGATAAATGACAGGAATCCAGGACAGGCCTAGAAATATGGTCTAATCCCTTCATTCCACAGAAGCAGAAATTTAGGTGTCTTCAAGTGGAAGAGACGCTGGCACTTCGGGCTGCAGCCTCCTCCGGCTCCAGCTGTCGCCCACCTAGGAAGGAGGCCGACTTGACTTTGTGGGAAACCGCACTTCCAAGACAGCGGCAGGAAAGGTTCCAGGCAGCCAATGGGGAGGACAGAGCATCCCTCATTCTCTGCTCAGGGTGGAAGACAGCCAGGAGCAGAAGCCTGCAGAGGATTGGAGGCATGGCTGAGCAGGACTGGGATGGCCTGAGAAGTAGAAGCCGTTGGTCCTCGTGCACCCAGGGCTCCGGGAACATGCCAGCTCACAGCGCAAAGCTATGCTTCCTCCCCCCACCCCCAACTCTTTTTCTGTAGCTCTAGGGGGAGAGCAGCAGCCTCCCTGATTCTCTCAGCGGCTGGGAAATCTGTGCATCGTTGCAAATTCCTTTTGTCCAAGTTTGCTTTCCTCCGTGCTATTAAAAACAGTGGGTAACTGTTGAAATGTGTGTGCTAATGTTTGGCTGCAATGGGAAGGGAGATTGGTAAAAACCTGGAAGTCAGGAGAGCTAAAGAACTGGATTTTCTTTCTAAAAATTCCCATTTCGTGCTGCCAGAGGGAGGTTTCAGGCTGAAGGCTGGTGTCAAAGCATGAATAGAGACGGGCTGTTCTCGCTAGGGTCCCCTCGGGGCATCGAAGCAAGTAGGGGCACCGCCGCAGCTACCCGCTGGCAGGGAGCCAGGCACCTGCACGAGCACCCTTCCAGCAGGGTGGGAGAAAGGGGCTGCTAAGAGGGAAGATCCCAACCCCAAGCACCGAAGGGGGGGAGGGGGAAGAGGAGTACAAGGGGGAGGGAGAAAAGGAGGTGGGGGGAAAGGGTCAGGTGAGAGGGGGGAGGGAAGGGAGGAAGGAGGGAGGGGGGAAGAGGAGGTGGGGGGAGGGAGAAAAGGAGGTGGGGGAAAGGGTCAGGTGAGAGGGGGGAGGGAAGGGAGGAAGGAAGGAGGGGGGAAGAGGAGGTGGGGAAAGGGGGAGGGGAGGGGGAGGGGGAGGGGGGA